ACATGAATTGCTTATATGACCAACACTAACTGAAACTCCAGCATCTTAATCGTAGGCCTTATTTGCTATTTTGATAACAAATACACCGACGACAGATGTTGTCTAAATAGTAGTTTAAAACTGAAAAAGGTGTGAAGAAATTATCTTTACTTCACACGGCATTAAAAAAGTAAAATGTTTTATGACTATATAAGAGTTATCATAGCCGTAACGTCTGACAAGTATTTTAATAAATCGTTTTTCTTTCTGTTTGCCATATGTAAAAATGTTTCTTTATAGCGTTAAAGAAAAGCGAACAAAAAGGAGAGAAGTAAAATGAAATTCCTCATGCTCGTGCATGTTATATAACTATAGCTGATGGAAAACGTTTATTAAAGGATATACGAATTTTATGTACTAGAATCTGAAATATATTCGTGAAATGTATCTGCCGAAATCTTTCTGTCAAACTCAGATGCAGATAATGATTTATATTCATTAATTTGCGTTTTAGGGTAAAAAGAGATCAAATATCTCTAACGTCTTTTGACTGTTTGTTTTTGAGTAGCTCTTCTTTTTGTCATTAATTGAAACTGATTAAAAAATGTGAGTAAGTCCGAAGCAGATGTGAGGGAGGTTGGAAAAAATAATATGTTCTTCTCAACTCCGGAGCGATATTTGATTGATACTACAGTTAAATCAGTTAGTTTTGGTCATATAAGCAATTCATGTAGTGCACGCTAAACAGGAAGTTGATAGTATAAATCTAACACTTTTATTCAACGGGGAAAAAGCGCAATGGGCCATACCATTCCGTACCATTTTTGACAATATTTTCCATTCTCTATTTTTGACAAACGCATATACTATCGAGTGTGTATTTTGAAAAACAATGCGTTTGTGCACATAATTTATCTGTGCAGCTAAAATTGAGATAACTACAGTCTACTGAAACGAAGATTTCAGGCTGAATTTCAGAGCCTGGAGATTTTCAGACATGCTGATTCTAGTGGCGATAGCAATCTGTTTTGGTTTTCACTTTCATAATGGACGTCGAGAAAACTGGGCTTTTGAGCAGAGGGCTTTCGGAAATATTATTTATAGAAACCACATGGAAACATAGCTTATCGACTAATTGTCCTCTGAAATTGCCACTCCGGCCCATTCTAGTCCATTCCAAATTTCTCTTAATACTCTAGAGTTGAAATCTTTGAATTACGACTAAAGCTCCCAACAATCTGTTCCCACAAGCAGAACAAAAAGGTTCTGTCTATGGGAAAAGAACTCACAGAATAGAGCACAAGTGCTTGGTTACTAGGGAAATATTCCCAACAAAAGAGCACGATTGTTCTGTTCTGGGAAGATTATTAAAAGAAATTTGGAATGGACTAGAATGGGCCGGAGTAGCAATTTCAGAGGGCAATTAGTTTTCTTTAGGTTATAAGCGAGGTAAAATCAATGGACGGTGGGATGAAAGCACGTTATAGTAAAAATTAGTTTTGTCCCTGAAAATGCGACTGTTTTAAACTTTAAAGGTAACAGTCGTGATCAACAGGATATTCTACGAATAGACTATAGTCGGATAGAAATTAATTTTGAAAAACGAAAAAGAACGAATAAAGAAAGAAAAATCAAGAAATACTGATGACCATTAGATGTGGGACATCTAATCTAACTTCCACAAGGAAGTTGGAATTTGGGAAGGAAGGATGTTGAACTTGAGACCAGTACTAGGCATGTTTCAAATAATTTATTTCGTAGAATAAAGCAATATTCTCAATTATTCAAAAAAAACTCGACAAGCTTTTTTCAATGTGAAGAATAAAGCAACTAATACGTGAAGAATGTACTTGTATGTTTTCTTGTATCATACTATAGGTTTATGTTCAAAACCGATAATGTTGGCACTCACCAGGTGGTCGTTTTTCATAATAAAGGTCACATATGTTTTCTGGTAATGATGCGTCGTCGCAACAATTATTCCATGGAACAACATCATGGTTATAATGATTGAGCAGATGAAAAAGATTTTGATTAACAGCATTGTATCTGTCCAAAGTACCAGCACCTTTGCGTGGATCAGCAATCCAATCACCGTTTTTGTCATAGCAAGCCTGAGTTCCGGGACCTTTGGATGTATATGTATGACGATAACAACCATGGGCACCAATATGATACGAACATGTATTTGGCTGTTTAGAAGCATCACAACCAGGATCAGTTGTCCATTCATCAGTACCATCATGAAAGGATTTCGGGAATGACGGCGGACAGCGACAGGGCGATTTTCGTACTTGCATTAATAGTGCACTTGGATCTGGTTCTTTTTTGTGCCAGTCTGTACAGTCAGATAATTTTCGATTATTTCCAAATAATTTAAATAAATCTGCATCACTAACTTCTTCATCTGCAGCCGTTGGCAATTGCTCAAGAAGAACATTTGTATGAACGCAAGCTAACAGAGCAAGAAGAACAACAACAAATAATGAATTTAAACCTGTCATACCGTCAGTTGTTGTTTTGTTTTTATTTTGGAAGATAAAATACTGAAATGTTGTCCGATTTTCTGTAAACCTTTTATAGAAGTAGAACAAAACATAATATTAAAATATATGCCATCATAAATCTCTAACAATCATAAGTATTGTTGCTTAAGTCTCTTAATAAAAGATTAAAATAGAGTACATTACAGTACATTTAAAATTACAGGTATAAATGACGTGCGTTCATTCTTCATGCATAAAACATAAAATTTATCGATTTTAATAGTGCTTTTATGATTATTATTATTGCTGATAAATGAAACGAGATTATGGTACTATGCTTGGGTCATGAAATAAAGTACACTAACCGCTCGTATAGTTAGTTATCAGATCATTTGGACGGTACATTTATGTTTTTATTTTGAAAAGAATTGTCAATCAAGTACCTAGGTTTTTTAATAGAACTTGATGATCAGTTCTTTTATATCACAAGTCGGAATGACCTGTTCCAAAATCCAGGTGTGTTTCTTTCTTCTGTTCGATTGGAAGCGGTGTTTATGATAGAATCTTTGCATAGGAAAGATTTAAGTTTTATTATTTATACATAGATATAACGTAATATAAGGTTATATACTTTATTGCGCTTTTCATTTGCTTTCTTCTTATCTATATAGAAATAAATACTCGCTAATCTTATTGTCACGTGCTTTAGAAACGTTAACTGGAATAAGGTAACATCAGACAAGGTTTTGATGCAATACATCAATGCTGAGTATAGAGGAGAAAAAAGTAGTTTTAGTTGTCTCCTGATGTTTTGAAAGAGCACATTACAGAAAAAAGCTGAACAACAGTTTTCTACGTTGTCTTTTGTTTGTTTGAATGTCACTCTCAAAACGACGAAATTACATGTGGCTAGAGGCTAATAGAGCTGGATTTTTGATATTTTGCTTTCCGGAAAAATAGTAGGGGTTGAAAGTCAAAAATTCGAAAAAGTCTCATTAACTTACATAAAGATGCTTCTCTCATCACAAATCTGGGTTGGATGTTAAAAGTCGGGCTCTGTTATCCTCTAACCACAGGTGTTAGCTTCAGTTTAACACCAACCCCATCACTAAGCGAGGTTTCGTTACCGAGAAATGTTCCAGATACGAAATACAGTCAAGGTGAATGGCGCGTTTGAGATACGATCGGAACTTTTACATAATTTCAAAATAATGCAAATTAGCGCCAATTAGTTTGAAAACACATTAATTTAAATTAGTTTTAACTCAACTACTTTAAATTAATTAATTTCGAATGAGTTCGAAATAATTTCCTCCTTTAAATTGGTTCAATTGATTTCTACTCTCAAATTCATTTGAATAAATGTTTTTGTAATAGATTTTGAATAGTTTCGATAATATAAATTAGCTTTAACTAATTTTGAGAGTCGAAATAGATCGTATAGATAAGTTTAAAATAATTTATTTTACTGTAATTTCAAAGCTCGCAACAAGGTAATTAAAACTAACAAATTTATACGAATTAGAAGTGCAAAGAGCAAAAAATAGTTTATATTTGCCCCAGTTTACTCTATGTACTTGATCGGCAATTCTTTTCAAAATAAAAACATAAATGTACCGTCCAAATGATCAGAAAACTAACTATACGAGCGGTTAGTGTAGTTTCTTTCATGACCCAAGCATAGTACCATAATCTCGTTTCATTTGTCAACAATAATAATAATCAAAAAAGCACTATTAAAATCGATAAATTTTATGTTTTATGCATGAAGAATGAACGCGTGTCATTTATTTATATTTACTCACAAACAAAAGACAGGGTGGAAAACTGTTGTTCAGACAAATTTGTCAAATATGGCAATTTGGTTCGCCATGTTTGTAATGATTCACATACTATTCTGCCTGAACGACGTTGTCTATCAGATACCGCTGCAATTATGTATAAAACTAGATTGGAACAAATTGGGAATCAGCAGATTTGCTCACTACTGCTAGAGAAATCGCGTACGAGAGAAATTGTTGAAACAAAGACAATTGCAGCATTGCCGGTAGGCTGAGCTCTTCCAGTTCCACATAAAAAGGTTTGTTTTACGGGACAACAAGTTGTATATTTGACAGAAAGTTTCGAAGAAGGACTGAAAAAAGATATTCAAGTCCGTCGGAAACCAGAAGCAGTGGTCGAACATATGCGAGAACTGAAAATAAATGAAAATTTCATTTTTCGCCGGAGGAATTTCTGAAACAGAGTCAGATTCGATCATTCTTTTCCAGATTCAGTTCAAAAAGAAAGAATCTGCCCTGCCGGTAGTTGATGAAGAAGATGAGCAAGAATGTTACAAAGAACAGAGAGAAGCCGAGTCAGAAGAGCTGATAAGTCGTGTAAAAGAAGTTTTGGTACTTGAACAGGAGACGCCGGAAGTTTGAAAAGAGAAGCTTCGACATCGAATCCTCCGCTCAATACATCGAAACGATTTTCGCTGCGCAGTAGCAAAAAATAATAGAAAGCAGTTTGAAATACTAGGTAGTTGCCTGGACCTCCCGGCAGTAGTTTGTGTTTTCGCTATTCAGATATTACTGTTTTCCTTTCGTTGTGTGCTAATTATTTTCTGTTTTTGTTTGCATTTGCGAACTTTTGATTTTGAAAAACTTTACAAAATATCAAAACCCTTCAGACTTTATAGCTCAACCAGCCAGGTAACTGGCACAGTTAGGTGAGTGGACAGTGTGTAGGAAAATTTCAAAATCCTTTATATTACCTCATTTCCTGAGAGTTGGTTCGCCAACTGGTTCAGGTTGTGTACGCAGTGTAAGGGGCCCAAAAACACAAAAACAATTTTAAAAAAAACGACTCGAAAAGGAGACGGGTCTTCGTCCCGAGTCGGATCCATGCTTTCTTTGCTTTTCGGTCTAACCACAACTTGAAGGTAAGCGGCCAAGATCTCCTGGCATTTTCTTTTTACGCCTTGTTTGGCTTACTTTTAATTCTGCTCATATTGAGCTTGAGCTGCCGCTCATATTGAGTTTGTACGGGCATGAGAGTGATACATTATATTAGCTAACTAACAGTTGAATAAAAAAATATCTTTCTCTTCGTAGGATGATCTCTTCGTGGGTGAGAAAGATCAACGCGTGAGACTGTCCGCGGTTAACGGTCCTACACAATTTCAGAAATCTTTCACTTCCAGAGAGTTGGTTCGCCAACTGGCAGAGGCGGCTTAGCTATCTTCTTTTATTTAGTCAACGCGCAGCAAGATGTGAAATACAAAAACCGATAGCTTGAGACAAACATAAAACACTCTGGGCCTTTAATCAAGTTGTCTATTCGACGCTGAAAAAGCTTTACAACTAAACTCAGAATGCCATTAGTAGATGCAGAAATGTTCAAAAGAAACGATAGTTAGAAGTTCACTCAAAGTTTAAACGAAAGAGTCACATACACTAGAAACCTCATACATGTTCACTTTATTACAGACAAAATGCTTGATCGTATTGTAAGTTTTTACATACCGCGAAGTGTTACAGGTCAACAAATTTGCTACCCGCTTCATCAGCACTGCATATAAGATGACGTTTGAAAGTGTCGATGAGTACAAAATGTTAGTTAGGAAAAAGTTACCGAGAAAACACGTCGAAAAATTTGAGAAAATCTGATATTCCACTCATTTCAGATCAGTGATCTCGAATTTTAGAACAGAAAATTTTGTTTAGGAAGTGTTTCAGACAAAAAAATATGATTTTATACGCATTAATATATGTGATAAAACTAGAGCATACGTCTTGGTTTTCCAAATTTCGCCATGTTCTTGTGAAACTTTTTTTACAAATTATTTAGCGTAGTTTATAGAGGATCAGACGCTCTATAAAATGCACGATAAGAGAATCTGGTCAGGAACCTTTTTCGAGTTCAAAATTGGCTTCTGAGCAAGGTTAGTTGTGGTTTGAAAATTGGAAAATTTCACAAATCCGACTTTTTCCTTGGAAAACTCAATTATGTGACAAAATTAAATGAGCCATCTTCTTCAGTTTTTATCAGGCCTTTGAAGAAGAGATGCTGCTCGAACCGAACGGATGAAATTTGACTGAGTTACAGGCAAAATGCTGACGACACCTACATTTTTAGAAATCCTCGACCCCTTTTACTTAAAAAATTCAGAACTTAGTCAAAATAAGTTCAAACGGGCTAAAAAGTTTTTCGTAACCCCACTTTTGATAATCCAAAAATATGAAAAAAACATGTGTTAATTTCGACCATTCCACTACGATTCTCGATGGGCTCGTGAAGCCTCTCTTAAGTTTGTGCTATTATGTAACTTCGAAAACGGATGTTGAACATAAACGCAAATATAAAAATGTACGCATAAGAAATAAAGAAAATGCGATAAATGGGCACACGTCAGAAGTAATAAAAAAATTTGAACTGTTCCTTCATGTTCTCTATTTGACTAGGTCTGATCATCACTGTTGTAGACAAACTAAACAATAGATCTTTAGAGATGAAATTTTGAAAAGCTTTTAGTAAACTCAGATTTATATTTAGCTTAGAAGGGATATATGATCGTTTTTGTTGTTAGGTTTAGGCTTTTTCTTGAACCGGAACGAAGCGAGAATATATAAACCTCATTATATCATTCTGTTCCATACACTATCAATACCAAGGGAGAAACAGCTGATTTTGGGATTTTTCCGATTTCCGTAGATTTTCACCGATATACAGCGATTTTTTTGCGATTACTGTGATTTGTTTGTAAAATTGGAATAGTGTTGCATTGGGAAATAGTGCGGAATCTGCTTTATTTGTAATAATGGGAACCAGACATAGTGAAAATAAAGAAAAAAATGATAAAACCATAAGCGATTTTTAGAGATTTTTTAGGATTTTAGTGACTTTTAAAGAACTTTAGCGATTTTTGAACATTCTGGGCCATTTTCGACTTAAACCGATTTTCTAATCTCAAAATTCAGCTGTTTTCCCCTTGATCAGTACAAAATCAATCCTTCCACGACGCTAAGATAGATACACATGAACGTGTTCTCTGCAGACCAACTGCAAAAACCAACTTTACTGTTCTTCCCAATATTCTGCGCAACAATTGGAGTTACAATGACTCGATGTTGTGCTTTTTTATTATTTTTTATGATACTTTATGGTTTGGTTTAAAAAGCCTTTTGCCTACTTTTTTTAAGTAAAAGATCAGACATGTTTATTATCTCATATACAGAGAAAAACGAGATTTGTTCACATTTTTAATAATTTTGTTTTATTTTCATTGAAATATCTAGAGCTAGAACGGAATGTGTAATCGATCCGGTACTAACAAAATCAACGTTTGTTTTTGCTATTTCTCCGATGGTGTCCAATGTGACATTTCCTGATGCTTCCGTTTGAAATTGGCTGTTGATTAACTCGAGAGCTTGTTTTAGCATCGATGTGTCCCCGTTCGATGTGACCATGTTATCTAACATAATTCTCTGTAGTCGAGCAGAAGAGGTAGGATATTCCAAGACTTGTCGTACTTCATCGAGGGTTCGTGTTTCGATTTCGATCGGAACTTCGGTAGATGAGGCAGACAGAACAGAGTCCAAAGCTTGACGGATTCCACCGGCAGCCGTAATATGGTTATCTTTGATCATAATCATATCAAACAGACCAAAGCGATGATTCAACCCGCCACCGTGTCTCACAGCCATTTTATCAAGGAACCTCATACCAGGAACGGTTTTACGAGTATCGAGCAAACGTGTTTTTGAATGCACGCAATTAATTTTTTCAACCATTTTAGCTGTAGCCGTTGCTATTCCACTCATTCGTTGCATTATATTTAAGACGAGTCGTTCAGCTATGAGCAGTGATCGCGTATTGCCCGTTACAGTCCCAAAATATGTACTTTCCGTGATATGGTCTCCATCTTTCATTGTCCATTTTACTTCAAGCGCTGAATCGATTTCTTGGAAAATAAACTGAGCCACTTCAAGACCAGATAAAAATCCATTTTGTTTAGCCAAGAAATGCCCAGTTGATTTCGAGTCTGAAGGAATAGTTAACGTAGATGTTATATCACCTGCTATAGACAAATCTTCTTCTAAACTTATCGATATAAGACGTTTTAACTGGATACATTCCAAGTTAGTTAAACTGGTAGCAGACATTTGAGTCAGCCGATGTATAACTGAAGTCTAGAACAGAAAATGAGAAAAAAAGAAAACAGGTTCTGCAATCTTAAGTTCTCAAACTTTGCTCGAAAGAACGAAAATGTCGAACAGCATGTTCTAAGCGTAAATGAGAAAATTTTTATACTTGACTTTTTTTGTATACTTCAACTGTTTTGTGTGCTTTTATCATACAGGTGAAAGAAAAGTCAATAGACACTCTACCTTATTGGCGATAAAGTACATCTATTGAAAAAATGGAAAACCTTGACAATCTCATCTACTTTGATATGCCACGACAGTAATCATAATTCGTTAAGGGTACTCCGTGCATACTGAGCGAAAATTTTGTTCGATTTGAAGGAACTGCAGTAGAGAATGAAGTATCCAGCATTATGTACACGTTTCATACAAGAATTATGAGTTTTTCAAAACTTCCGGCAGGACGCTCTGACGGAAAGAAAACTCATTTCCAAAAATAATCGGATCGTTCTGAAAAAAATGGGAGAAAGCTTCTAAACTTGTAGTATTATAATGTAAAATCTTTTTCTCAAAATGGTACACGCATCTCAGATTTCTGTCACGTTTGGTTCGTGAGTTCCCCTGTGTGAAGCGACATCCGGATAGCTCGATGAATGTTGGAGCGATCATACTTTGACACGGTTAGTTTTTTCATAAGTTTTTCGGAAATCTCATGAACTTCGACGCTAGTTGTCATTTCACATTGCAGACCAAAATGGATTTATTGAAATTAATTCACCTTCATGTTGTTTAAATTAATATAGTACGTTACATTCGCGTACACCTCCCTCAACTTTCAAGGAATCGGTCTATTTCAGCTAGTGCTCACACTTGATCTTGTTTGATTGACTATTATTATACGTTTTATTATTAAGTGAAGAAGACAGAAAGAAAAAGACTATAGACTCAAACAAACATAAAAACAACACAAAAAGAAACAGGAAAAACCTATCACACATTTCGCCTGCTCATTAAAATCAAAACTACTAGCGTAGAATAACGTAAAGAATAAACACATATTTCAAAGCCTCTGCGGATACTCTTACAGCACGGATGCTGCGTGAATCGAACTTATTTATTTCTGATGTTCTAAGAGACATGTGTCAACAATCTATTGACACAGGAATTTTTCGAGCAAGTTTTAAAATTGGATAGATAATGAGCTTATACGAAGCCAAAGAATACTATTTACTGGAAAACTACCGATCTATAGCATTATTGCCCATTTTTTCGAAGATTATAGAACATGTAGTATTTAATGTTCTATATGATCATCTAACTAAAAATAACCTGTTAAACGCCATGCAATCTGGATTTTGCAGAAAACATAGCACAGTCATACAACTAATAGAATTTGTTCATAGTATACATAAAGATCTTGAGAACGGCAACGACATTAAAGACAGCAAGGATAAGCTGGTAGTTTTTCTAGATTTTAGTAAAGCTTTTGACAAAGTGTGAATCAAAGTACTTTTACACAAGTTAGAGAAAAAAGAAGTTTGAGGAAATCTGTTAAATTGGTTCCAAAGTCACCTTACTGGAAGATCAATTGTGACTATCGTTAGTGGCCAGAGCTCTAAGCCAAGAAATATAAATTGCGATCTCGAATCTGCCTGTTGCTCCTGTTTCTATTGCTACAGTACATCTAGATTTCGCTTCGGAGCATAAAAGTTTAGGCGTTGTAATATCAAAGGAATTAAGCGCCCCTCTCAGAAAAAAACTTTTTTGTCTTATATCCGATTTTGATGCCACTTTTAGCAAATGTTTGCCATATCAAAGCGTGATTATGAAATTTTTTGTTCCTCGTTACCTCTTACCGTTCCGGGATTTTCCAGAATCCAGGGTCAAAAACCTGCTCTCCACTGCGGGACACTTTTTTTAAACATACTTCAAGCTAGAAATCCCGGACTGGTTTTATTTTAAACTAAACATCTAACTGCGGGGGACTGATGGGACTAGATTTTTGATTTAGATTTTTGCTCGTTTTCTAGAGATCCAAAATCTCTTTTCCAAATTTGAGAGAAAACGCTGTGCATTCGTTGATCTGTTTTAGGACATGTAGGAAAATGCTTGTAATTTTTGAACGCAAGAACACACAGAGTTGTGCAACGTCTTATTTTGATCAGAAAAGTCTGCTCTACAAATCCACATGTTCAGAAAAAAGTTACTTGCTTAAGTGCCCAGAAAAAAATTATTATTTGAAAATCCCAGTTTTCAAGGTTTCTAGAAAACTTGCTCGACACCCACAAAAAAATAATTCTAGGCTCGAAAGCGATACAGATTCTGAAAGTAGACACTCCAGGCTATCTTTCCATGTGCTTGTCTCCAAGTTGATTTTTTGGTACAAAAAGATTTCATTCTGAGGGAGGAGCTCTTAAGTTGGCAAGCTCACATAAAATATATTACTACTAAGTATTATAAAATAATTAGCTTATTGAAGTTTTTCAAAATATAAATTGTCTACAATCGTTCTTGAACAGATTTATAGTTCATTTTTTCCACAAACAATAAGCTATGCTGTGATTGTATCTACACATCGACATATGAAAGTCTTTTAACTGAGCTATATCTCTAGTGAGCGATTCTTACAAAAGAATCTGATAAGAAACTTATAAGAATCCGGTACGACTCGTATAAGAATCTTATTAGATTCTTACTGAATTCTTACATAAGAAGTCTGCACGAAAATGACAAGAATTTGATAAAAAGCAGATAAGGATCAGTTAAGAATCCTGTACGAATAAGAGGTCGCGAGGCATTTTCAAGTATGCCTTGAAATGGCAAGCCTTACCTACCTTGGAGAAACTTTTGAAAAACTTTCTGAGAAATCAGTGGTGGTTATATAGTATGTGCTTCTGCAAAATAAAACGGTGATTGGCTTTCAGTAAGAATTTTATAAGGAAGTGATAAGAAAGTGATAGAAGCGTCTTATCAAAGTCATAGTTCATTGTTATTTAAATCTTACCTAATTCTTATCGGATTCGTACGAAGTTCTTACCATTTTCGTGCGGACTTCTTATGTAAGAATCCGATAAGACTCGGATAAGATTCTTACCAGAAATAACGAAAAATGTTTGTCTAGGGATAACTTACAATATCAGGTTGCGTTAGCTGTAAGTGGAGCCCTACGTTTGTCAAGTAAAGAAAAAATTTTGCATTGTTTAGATTGGTTACCATTAGATAAACACTTTCTTCAACATAAATTTATTTTATTTTATAAAATACTCCTCCATATTTACCTTCGATCCAGACTTGTAGAGAAATATTGGATAAAAGTTTCTTTCGTTCTACGGAACGGTCTGTCTACAACAAAACACAAAAGAATCCAAAACTTTAGCTATTTATGTTAAATCTCTAAAAACACATATGCAGTTAAATGCTGATCTCTATCTAAAGCATTTATCTGATACTAATCGTTGCCAATGCGGCGAAATAGAAATACGACAAAATTATTTACTTAATTATCCTCGTTATATTTTCTCTAGAAATCATTTGTATAATAATTTACGATCCTTACTGAACAGCAATCCTCTTAGTTTGGCTCGTCTCTCTCTTAATGTATCTCTTGAGAAGGGCTCCTATATACTTGTAGTCAGACCGATGACCGATTACATAATTGCTACAAAACGTTTTAAATATTACATTAACCATACCAATTTGTTATGCTCTCTACACTGTTCTTAAGCTTTTGCTTAACTTCTGTACAATACCTTAAAATTTTAGCGTGCATCTTTTTATTTCTCTTGTCTTCTTCCTCAGATACTTTTTCCTTCTTTGCCTCTTATTTTAAACTAAACTAAACTAAACTAACATACATACACAGTAGGTCTGACTCATATTAATCACAAATAGCAAATGAACAAGTATCGATAACAAAAGAAAAGTAAAGTAAGTTTAAAAAAAAAAGATAACAAAGAAAAGACAGATAAGTGTATAACCGAGATGAGAGAGGTATGTGTTTTTAATATCGGTAATAACTAGATGATGTACTTAATAGATTTCATATCTGTTACCAAATCGTTGTCTGCTTTTAGCCACAAATAAGGACTCCACATATCTAAAAGAAAATATGGACTGCTAATGTCTGGTTGGTTTATATAGAATAGAGAAAAGAAGAAACTAACAAAGGTCGCTAGTTTATAGCATTCGTTTTCCACATTTGAGTGACATAGCATTTCTCTTGTTTTAGAACTTACCTGTTTGTCATCTACGCTCAATATATCTTGCTTTTACAATTATTTCAGGGTTACTGATTTATGAAAAATTAAAGTCTGTCCACAAACTTGAGTTGTTTGAGTTCTGTCCTCATATGCATATAAATAATTACCTGAAACAGCTGAAAATTTTTATATAAATTGCAATTATAAGTTGACCCGATATAATTCCTGTTATCGGTCCAGTCTTGATAGAGGAATCCCAAATCTCAAAAAAAATTAAAAAAATCGAACTGCGTAGACAAGAATTGAACCTGAGATCGAGTGACCTCAGGTTCAATCCTTGTCTACGTAGTTCCTTTTTTTCGTTCTCTGGTTTTATAACCACTAGGCCGCACGTTATTATGATAAGTGTTCTCTTTCCATTCATATTGGTGAAAATATCTTTTACAGAAAATATTTGAATTTGAAAAAAACTAAAATTAAATTTTTCGATGATTCAAAAATTTTGAAACTTGAATTTTAATATCAATCAACAGTTCGCATGGAGCTATATAAGAAAAGTCTTTTTTCAAGACTTGAGTTTAAAATAATTCAGACATATAAACCAAGATTTAAGAGAACTAAAACTATTTTACTAGACTATTAAGTCCAATATCATCAAAACGAACAAGTGTTAGAGAGGAAAGAAAATTCGCTCTCTAAGTAGGGTTTCTTGAGATGGATAAAGTGCGAATTTCACTGTATTTTACCCGGTTGCCTCGTCGGGAACGCGATGCAATTCATCTCAAGCTCAGTTAAAGATTAAGTTTAAAATAAGTGCACAATGTGTTCGATTAGGTGGTTGAAAAAAATTACTCCGTTCATTCTAAAAAATTGGATCCTATCAAAACAAAAATTACTCTGAAAAGTTAAAAGCCATTTCTTTTTTTGGTTAACAGCTAAATTTGTAGAGTTACTCCATAGAACTTCCCTCATCTGCCAAAGTTATATCGAAAATCCCGTAAGTACACAGCAATCTTATTTACGCTTGTCAATTCTCTTTTTCAATTACTGTGTACTTATTCTGAATTTATCATTCAACTTATTCAATTTTTTGTATCAGTTTTATATTAGCACGTGCGTTCACTGAAAAAGGAAAATGCAGTTTTTCTTTCGTGTTCTTATGTGATATCGTGTGTTTTGTCTTATATCTTTCGTGTATGTGTGTATATCTGTATATATATATACAACTATATACAACAATCATCCTTACGAAAAAGGAACGGTTTCTTTCTTTTTTGATACATTTCGTTCCCATCATGGAAGTCATTTTGTAACATTTCACATTATAAAAGTCTTGCGAATTTTACAGTAAAAGAATTTTTCGTTGTAATGGAGATAAAGATTATATAAAATTTTTTCTTCAATCTACTCATCATATGTCATTTTTTCACTAAATTAAATAATTCTTTTACTGTAAGACTCGCAATACTTTTTTCGAAGAGCAAACGTTAAAAAAATGACTTCTACAATCAAACCTTACAAACTACTCTGTCAAAGATTGTAGAATAAATATTCTTAAGTCGGCACTTCCAACTCTTATTCTTGATGAATTTCTTCGTAAAACTATCAAGTATTTTTATGTTTCTCAGCAGGGCCGCAAATAGAAAGAGAACATTAGGGGGACGTAAAACAAAATTTCTCTTTGAGGTAGTGTGAAATTGATATAAAAAGTTTTTATGCGAGGAATAATGGATAAACTAAGAATAGCTTTTTCAATTATTCGGAGGGTGCGCACCCTCCCGTTATTCGCTTCCCTGGGTATCGTGTCGATAGCCGGCCCTCTGGATAGATTTGGAGAGGAATTTATCGTAGAAGAGGAGAACAGTTTCTATTGTTGGATGGAGAGTTATAAACAGAACAGCGGTTTGACGGCTGTGGATCAGAGTTGGTACTGGTCTAAATATTAGAGACTGGGTCGGGCACGTCGATCCAAAATTCTCTAAAAATCGTTGAAAATCCTTGAAAAGTTTTGTCAATCTCTAAATTCTCAAACAATCACTGGGAATCTCAAACAAGTGCATGACAATTTTATATTAGATCAGTTGAGTCATAATTGGTTCCTTTAGAGATTCCCAGAGTTTCCAAAGATTTCTTAAGATTCTACGAATAGGAACTCAGCTTTTTCTCGCTTGATTAATTGAGTCGAATACTACGTCATTTTCTTCTTCTACGTGAAAATCTTTGCATCGCCTGCTATATAACAGTTACCATAATGTCCACGACTGTGATTTTTAAATTTTTCTTTATCAATCAATTTTTTTCTTTCGACTTTGTTTACAACATTTAACAAATAAATAAAAAATGATTGCTCCAGGTATAACAATGTAAACAATCACTAAGTCAACCATAAACTGCTGATAGAATGGTAGTGTACTCTGGAATGGCGCATAGCGATTTAAATCACCATTTAATTTGACTAAGAATTCAATTTCTTTCACAGCTTGTTTCACACCACCAGCATGTTTCATTTCAGCTGACATGATTCGAACTGCGTTCTCGAACGTACTATTCCTCCACATTATTAACAGTTTTGTTGTTACGTCGTTAGCTGAAAATGTATAATCATGAAAATCAACCGGATTCAGAAATGATTGTAATAGAGATGGTGGTTTAAATAACGATTGCCCGACTCCAGATTGCTCAATTGCGATTGCGTTGAAAAATTGATCAGTCTGTAACGGCAAGCATAATATAGGCTTCTGAAAATACAGTCCTTCTCCAGCTGAACCCATACCACAATGACTTAGAAATAAATTAACTGACTTTTGTTGTAAAATCCATTTTTGTTGAACAAATTCACGTTCAATTTTCACCCGTTGATCGTTCAACAAGACACGCCGATATTCATTATTCGTTATCTCATTCAGTACAATTTGATATTTATCATAATTGATATTACGAAATGCTAATAAGACAGAAGCAGTATCTGTTTGTAAAAGAAATGCCGCTAGACCCGTGATCAAATTTTTCATTCGATCGAGTTCAATTATACCAGTACTACCAAAAGCAGCATAAACCATAGAATTCGGAGGTTTTGATTTGATCCATTTTGTAAGATCATTATCAGTATTATCGATTGTTGATTCATCTACATATGCTCCAAGGTATTTAGTCCAGTGATGGGAAGACGATGGTGAATAGAGTGTTGGTGGCAAATTAAATAATTGTAAGCATTTGAATTTTGTTAATAACAGATTTTTCAATGTAAAAGTTTCGTAAAATGGTCCTGGTACTTGTGGAAATGACTGAAAAATAGTGTAGAAGATTGTTTTCAATTGTTTGAAAGCGGACATTATAGCACGTAAAGTAAAAGCAACATTGTAAACACGATATTTCCATTTAGTTAACTGTGTTGATGATAATAACGAAAAACTGTTTGGTTGATTAAAATCAAAAAAATCCAATTGTATCTCCGTAAATTGTATTACACATGATGTCTTTGCTTCTTTGCAAAGAGCATTTATACCAAAGATCATTGAGCATCCAATGATTACATCAAATTGTTCTACCATTAATAGATGTACTGTCTTGTTCATGAGTGCATTGAGACTTATACCTAATCCTGGGGTCAAATAGGATAAATTATCAAACAACGAATGATTGGTAAAATATTCAAGTACTTCTTTTTCAGTTTTCTTTTGATCAATAAATGCATCTGTCGAATCATTTGAATATATAATACGAAATGACGATAGATTAGGATGTGATGTGAAGTTAACATAAGATTGGGCATACAATTCAGTGATAAATGTCACATTATGATTTTTCATGCTTTTTGCTAATTCAAACATCGGAACAACTAAACCAGCGCCACCGATACTAATCATCAAGACATTAAAACTCAACGATCCAGGAATGAACGCTAGTATCCAAAAGAATAACAAACGAAGGTACACCATAACACGTTTGATGAAAAGTACGTTATGTTGTAGAAGCGGAGAACAAAATGTGAAGGTCTTTTCTTATCAAATCTTTTTCTCCTCTGTGTTCTAATCTAATGTAAATATATCAATATATATTTAGATTCGGTAAAAGAAACCATAAAAAGTGATATATTGAAGATTATTTAGTGTTTCGAAGTATAACAGCTTATGTTTACAGCGTCATTCTTTTTTAATATAGGGTATTTGTGGGATCGCTATAGAGAACTTACAAATCGTGGGCATTTCGCAACTTGCCACCGTTGATGGTAAGAATGGAAGCATCAGTTTGTGATGTTTGACACTTAAATAATTCGACTCAGCTGTTTTTTTTCTCATGTCTCGTCATTGGTCTGATGTTCCACTACAGATCGCAGGCGCCAGTTCATCAGACTTTATGCCCAACTTTCTGTGATTTTGATTTTCGGCCTAATTTTTATCTTTTGAGCTATAAAAGAGACGCTTGTAAATCTCAAGCGGATGAGGTACTTCGAGTAGAGTGTCTATCGTATGTTCTGCTTTCTCTATCCTAAAACTGCACGATATGACTGAATTGAAATTTGGGATGGATTTAGAGAATGAACCAATAAAGGGTTTTCTAGATACCAGGAAACGATCATGGTGGAGACAATAGACTTCAATAAGCAACTGAAGTCAAAATCAGATCATTTTTCATCAAACTGGATACTTTTCAACGAACTTGACGGACTTGCAATGGAGGATCAGCGACTCATGTGTATCTCTATTCTATCCGACTACTTTAGTGTTTGTCGAATGTTCACGCTGAAAAATTATGGAGATTTGCACGGAGAAAGTAAACATTTCGACATACACATACATTGACTCAGTTTTTCATCCGGATTCCGAATATGATATTTGTTTAGTGCTGATAAAGTAAACTGAGAATTACGAGTAGAGTTCTGCCTTTTTCGCCTGACAGTTAGAAATAATGAATTTTCTTAGCACAAAAATGAGTCGCCCTTTCAAAGCTGAGCGTCAGCTTTAAACAAAATGAAAGGCTTTCGGCGGATCTGGCGCAGTCTAAATCACGGCTTTGTCTCTTAGAGGTAATTAATAAATTCTGTAGTTAAAGCGTCATCATACATAGATGTCACTAGCCCAGCCACTACGCTAGATAGAAGGAATTTTGTTATGTTATCTAGATAATTTGTCTCTTAGATACTCCACTTGCAAACAAAGCTGCAAAACTGCTTCAGGCTTTTAAATTGAGTTGGGAGTTCAAATTTGCAAGCAATCCTTGTACCTTGACTAAGAAATATTTCTCAAAACAAAACGAGTCATTTTGTAAAGAATTGAATTATCTATTCGACAGTGTATTTTTAAAATTATTTTACGAAAATTTCTAAAATTAAAGTTTTGAAAAATTTTAAATTTAAATTTTTAATCGAAAATTCAGTTGTTTTTCAAAATAAAGACCGAATTCGGAATCAGCACGAAAAACAACGTCTGATGATGGGTTCCTATCGATTTCCCGATGAAAAAAAATAATAAACTTGATCAGCGAAGTGTCGTGTTACGTGGACAAGCCGATTTACGTCATATATTTCAGCATATCTGGCAGTGAATGTATTAAGATATTTGATAGATTATTACTAGAATTGAATAAGGAAATTAACTCCATTTTATCACTAGGTGATATATCTCATTCTATAGCAGTAACCATTGTCAATCTCATAAATATCTTATGAAACGACATGTGTCTGATCGAAAGCAAACATTGAATTTAACAGCTGCTACATACGGGTGATCTTACTTTTATTGCTCTGGAACTCTTAATTGACAAAGCAATTGAAATAGAAAGCGAAAAAACATCAACAGTGGTGAGTGCCAATAATAACAGATCTGACTGATATTGAATCGATCACCATCGATCTAATGAAAATACTGAAAAATAAGCGGAATTGTTCTTTTATAATTATTAGTTAAACAAATCATTAACGAAAGTAATTTGAATTTATACAGTATTTGTTTACTAAAACAAAATAAGCAAGATCACTCAGTGATAACATGGCAGTCCTATAAACTGATTTTGGTAAAATGTTCTTGTTATCATCATGTTTGTATCAAGCATGGTTATTGTAGATTTTGATTCTGGAACTGTTTCTTCCCTAACTAAAGTATATCCATCGCTAATTAGTGATTGACATAGTAAGCAGAATAATCGCGAAGGCCGCATGGAAGTTCGTGTATATTCTCGTTGATGAAGTTTAGATTCTTCTGAAGGTTTTCTTATTCTAGTCTAATCATGAACCCTCCGCCTCTATTTTGCACGGACAACTATGATCTACGGCTCTTAGGTACAAACTTGTACTTTTATATGCATCTACAGGCAATGACGAAGAGGTTAATTAACTTTGATTGTGTTTTCGTTGACGTGGAGCAATGAACGTATAATTTGACGTGAAAATGGGCTGAAGATATTAAATTATCGTAAGTATTTGCCGTACGTATAACGCTTATTCTTAAAAAAGCTTTTGATTCAATGTCACAAACTATGAGATCTCATTACACTATGCATCATTCTTTCACCAAACTGTCGTGCGTTGACAATCATTCATAAATCGTGAAGGATATTTTTTCTTTTTTCACTTTTTATCCATCATATCGGGTGGCCCAGATAAAATCGGACACTTTCATTCGGTGTTCATGAGGCATTGTTCGGTAGTCCACAGAGTTGGTTCTAAGCTCAATCGGTAGAGAATTGAATTCTCAACAAAACTTGCTATTTAAATCTCTGATAACAGTTTTGTCGTTTGAGCACTATTCAAAATATTGAATAGTGCTGAGTTGCCTGACTGCGACAACCTTTTGTCGTCAACTTTTTTGAGATTTTTAGCCCATTATCTAAGGTTCAATAGTTAATTTATCTACGTAGATAGATAGAGAATTTTGTGCTCTATCGGTCTCACTTCTTCACAACTTCATACAATGTTTCTGCTACACCAGCTAAAATTATAATTAGCTCTCAACCGATTTTTCAATTTTTTCAAATTAAATTAATTTTTTTAATTAATGGTTTCAATTGAGAAACTTTGTTTAAATATGAAACGATGCCGAATTTAAGTCTGCGTAAGAAAATAAGACTAAAACCCTGGATTCACAACATTTTACTGCTTTTATAGGCCAAAAACTAAATTCTGTGAAAAATAGGTTCAAAACTTAGATTTTATTGGATTTGTCAGTTTTTTGCACAGACAAATTTTCTTTGAAGACTTAACTGTAAAATTTCGAAAAATATGTGAGAAGATGCAGAATTTTCCGATAAATCTTCTGGTATGTTCAAAATTCTTATGAAATCTGTTTTTGGATCCAAACAAATATTTTTCTATTTTCAGTGTGTCGTAGTTAGACAACTCAGCACTCTTCAATATTATGAATAGTGCACAAACGACAAAACTGTTATCAGAAATTCAAATAGCAAGTTTTGTAGAGAATTCAATTCTGTATCGATTGAGCTTAGAACCAACTCTGTGGGCTACCGAGCAATGCCTCATGAACAACGAATGAAAGTGTCCAATTTTATCTGGGCCACCCGATAATCACAAAAAGACGAAAAAATCTGTAAATAGAAAACACGTAGAAAACGATGGTATATAGAAAATAACAACAACTAAGAAATGAAATGCAATATGTTTTTTTAATTTTTATAGCACAAAACCGTACTGGAAGGCACATTTCATGCTCAATTTACGTTTTTTTGTGAAAATCAAAAACACATTGAGTTAATTGTCCTTGTGAGCTGGTAAAGTGTTATTCGATAGGTGCGTCTCAATAAAACAACAAGGAAAGTAATAGAAAAATGGAAGACCCATAGAATAAAAAGAACATGAGAAGCGACGACAATTTTTCTGTTCGCCACAATTGCGCTCATCGCCCGAGCGAGAAAGACGACTCGCGCTCGTCGCTCGAGCGACTGACTTACGAATAGCGCTCGGTGTCCGAGCGTTCGCATGTCATTCCTAATTTAAATAAAATTCTCTGTAGTTTTGTACAAAAAATGTTTAAACAATTGTTTATTTGCTGTTCACTTATTATATAAACAAAAAATATATTTTCTTCTATTAAAAGAGTAAAATAAATGTCGTACTAGGTTTGGAGCGAAATCTACACAAGAAAGCAAATTTTTTACATATTTTGTGAAAGTTGTTAACTCACTCAAGAAGAAACAATTTTCTCACTACATTTTAATAATATGCAGTGCATGAGCGCGCTTGTGCACTGCATATTATTAAATGTATTCGAGCGACGAGCACGCTCGTTAAAAAGCGCTCGAGCGCGAGCGCGCTCACCTTTCTCTCCTCGAGCGCTCGATTCGCTCCATTCGTACTCGCAGATAAAACTTGATTTCATTATCTATTTTGGCCACAAGCATCGCTTACCCTTCGATTGGATGGATTGATGATTTCTAAGTGTCTTCGAAGTGACAAATCAATTCAATTACAGATACATGCTCATCCGTTATAGTACTGCTTGAACAACTTAGCCAATGCTATACTTAATCCCAATTACAAATAGTCCAAAAGGAGTGCCTATATTTAGAAATATTTTCAAGGGAAAAGCATTAGGCATAGGGATGCTGCATGAAAAAGTTCCACTTTTATTTGACCTGAATCGCTAGTTCAAATATAATAAACCTCAGTACTTTTCAAACTATGCTATTTCTAATGACAGTCTCAAAAGAATTTCAAAAATTCATCCAGTAGGACTTTCAGAAAACGTTTAGGTAGGGGTTTTGAGTAAAAACATTCCTATTCGGGGCAGTTCTAGGTTGAAATTTTTTTTAAAAATATGATCTTGTATAGGATTTTTTGGACTATATTTAAAAAAAAGAATTATTGAAAAACATTTCGTTTTCTCACTGTAAAATTTAATTTCTTTTAAAACTG